TCTTTCCAGAAAAAAAAACTGTACGCGGAGAGAATTTTCCCGCGACAATCGTGTAATCGTGGGACAACGTGGCATTTTGAAAACCTTTGTAAGAGTTTTTTTTTGCAATTTCGCAATACATCCTACACAGTTGGAAACTTTGTGTTTTCTTGTTAAAAAACATGCCGGTTAAAATTTGTGTGTTAAATGTTTAACGCATTCATGTGTTAATTTGACATATTGCTCTTGTGTTAATTGACCTCAAATGCAAAATTATTAAGATACTAGAAACGATAAAACGCGCGCTTCGCGCGCGCAGTTTGTGATCAAGCATTGTATATTTTTAAGAATTTGTATACACGCGAAGAAGTAATTGTATGCACAACGTCAATTTAAAATAAAAAGTAATTTGTCACTCACTGATACGGTTCGCAACAGCAAAGTTGTATGTACATCGCTAACTATACATGTTAAACTGTAACAATACAAAAATGTTTACGATTATTATAGACTAATTATGTAAAATCCAGACTATTGTATTAAATGTACTTTATATTTAATATTTTTGAAAATAGGTATTTATTAAAATAATTATATAGAATACTGAAAGTCTTCCTTTTAAATATGAACTCACAAAATTTTATATGTATGGTTTTGTCTCTAACACTTATTCGAATGCTCGTTGGAATCATTTGAATAAATAAAATAAAAGCACAGAACAGATGATTCATTTTGCACAAGTAGCAAATAACAAAAAAGGAAGACACTTACCTTACGATTTCTCTGCCGTTGCCCGATGCCGCCTAGGCCTGCTCCTCCTCTGAGATTTTCTTGTTGCACTCGTACACTCACAGCACTCGCTCGCGAAAATCGATCGCGCGAAATTTCGGACACTCCCGTACGCGATGTAAAATACCGTGAAATGCAGTAAGCGACGTTCTTTACTTCCTACCCGTTCAAGTTGCGAAGAACGACAGAGCGAATTACAGCGCGGACGCCCAAGTCGCACAAATATCTCTCTCTTCCCGAAAATGGAACAGATTACACGAAATCGATAGATAGTTAAAAGCGCGGTGCGTAAACGAGATGTAAACGCGACAACGTACCACGGTTTACTTTCATATTTTAGATGAGTTAGTCTCGTAAAATATCCATGTACACGTTAATAAAGAGCCGTCGCCTCAACGCGCAATTCGTTTCTCATTACAAGTTGTAGAAACTTAATAATTAATCTAGTAGCGTTACTTGTCACTGATAAAGGAGTCCAAATCAATAACGTTTTATCCTTACATTCTTCACGATCGAGTCTTGGAAACCGACAACGCAAAAACAATACCACGCACGGAGCGACTCGCGCGACTGCTTGCCGGCTCGACGTTCGGCGAGTGACTGCGCGGCGACCTTGGTGAAACAATGGTCCGCGTGACGTTGTACGATGCCGCGCCGAGTGAAAAACAACAAAAAAACGTTGAGAATTCGTTGGCCCATCTACGTAATGGAAAATTCTGTACTACTTATCACTCGCTCGCCGAACGTCGAGCCGGCAGGCAGCAGCGAGAGTTGTTCCGTGTGTGATATTATTTTTACGTTACCGGTTTTCAAGACTCGATCGCGAAGAATGTAGGGATAAAACGCTATTGATTTGTACACCTTTATCAGTGACAAGTAACGTTACTCGATTAATTATTAAGATTCTAAAACTTGTAATGAGAAACGAATTACATGTTTAAGCGACGGTTCTTTATCAACGTGTATATAGATATTTCACGAGACCAACTCATCTAAAACATGAATGTAAACCGTGGTACTTTGTCGCGTTTACATCTCGTTTACGCACCGCGCTTTTAACTATCTATCGATTTCATGTAATCTGTTCCATTTTCGGGAAGAGAGAGATATTTGTGCGACTTGGGCGTTCGCGCTGTAATTCGCTCTGTCGTTCTTCGAACGGGCAGGAAGTAAAGAACGTCGCTTACTGCATTTCACGGTATTTTATATCGCGTACGGGAGTGTCCGAAATTTCGCGCGATCGATTTTCGCGAGCGAGTGCTGTGAGTGTAAGTGCAACAAGAAAATCTCAGAGGAGGAGCAGGCCTAGGCGGTATCGGGCAACGGCAGAGAAATCGTAAGGTAAGTGTCTTACATTTTTGTTATTTGCTACTTGTGCAAAATGAATCATCTGTTCTGTGCTTTTATTTTATTTATTCAAATGATTCCAACGAGCATTCGAATAAGTGTTAGATACAAAACCATACATATAAAATTTTGTGAGTTCATATAAGGAAGACTTTCAGTATTCTATATAATTGTTTTAATAAATACCCATTTTTTAAAATATAAAATATAAAGTATATTTAATACAATAGTTTCGATTTTGCATAATTAGTTAATAATAATCGTATACATTTTTGTATTGTTACAGTTTAACATATACATATAGTTAGCGATGTACAACTTTGCTGTTGCGACTCGTATCAGTGAGTGACATATTACTTTTTATTTTAAAGTGACGTTGCGCATATAATTACTTCTCTCTCTCTCTCTCTCTCTCTCTCTCTCTCTCTCTCTCTCTCTCTCTCTCTCTCTCTCTCTTCGCGTGTGTACAAATTCTTAAAAATACACAATGCTTGACCACAAACAGTGCGCGTTCTGTCACGTCTAGTATTTCTAAATTGTAAGCCTTCATTTACTCTGAACCTAAAAGAGAAGTGAAGCACATCGCGCTTCGAGATATCAATCGGTATCGCGGAGAAGGGCCTTAACTGTTCGATATTAACGACATTCGCGCTGGTAACATCTCTTTTTTAGTAAGGGAC